TCCCCGCCTCCCTAACCTGTTCTTCCTCCCACCTATGCCCTCCTCCCACCTCAAGCCGCACCCCCATCTCCTACCGACTAACCTCATCCCGCCCCCTTGACCTGTCCGTCCTCCCTGGACTGACCTATCCCCTCCCTAACTCCCCACCTACACTCACCTTTACTGGCTCCATCCCCGCCTCTTCGACCTGTTTGTTTCCTCTCCACCTATCCTCTCCTCTATCCATCTTCTATCTGCCTCCCACTCTCTCCCTATTTATTTCAGAACCCCCTTCCCCTCCCCCTTTTCTGATGAAGGGTCTAGGCCCGAAACGTCAGCCTTTCTGCTCCTATGATGCTGCTTGGCCTGCTGTGTTCATCCTGCCCTGCACATAATTACAAGACAAACCAGCCCATTCAACACAATTGGTTTGTGTTGCTGATTATCCTCCATACCCGCCTCTTTTGTCTTATCCTACTGACATGCCCTTCTATTGTGTACTCCTTCATGTACTCCTCTGACTTCCTATTTGGCTCAACTCCCCCTTGTGGGACCAAGTTCCATATTTTCCCCACTCTCTGGGTAAAGATGTTTCTCCTAATACATCTCAATCTTCTGGAGGAAGGAGAAAAGCCCCCCACTCCCCAAACTCATTAATTATTTTCTCAGTTCCACCGATGGCCAAGTGGCTGATTGTAGAAGGCCTATTGCCTGCCTGTTCAATCTTTGTTGAATTCTAATAATTTAAACAACTATTTATAGCAAATTGAGTCAGTTTGGGATAGCTACATGTCATTGTCCTATAGGGAGTATTTAAGAGGAGGAGTTTTACAGAGTTTGCACCAGATTGGATTTGTTCTAGATCTGGAGAAATTAGGAAAGAGGAACTCACAATTGTACCAATGTTTGTTGTAAAATTTGTTTCAGTGAACTGTTTGTCTTGCCTCACGATCCAATTTGCTGAAAAAAAGAAGCCCCTCAACTTTCAGAAGGATGTACAGCACCAAGAAACGAAATGCTGAACATTCGTAGCTTGCGCGCCAGATTGAGAAAACTGAAATCTGGAGATGTGTGTGGGTTGAAAGCCAAAGAAGGAAGTATTGTGGCTGGACTGTTCATGTTGATGGTATCCATCATGCAGCTCATTTTTGAAGCGGGGCATTTTCGTTACTTGAGGCCTCAGGTTATTTCTAGCTCCATGAATCAAATTACCAGACTTCAAATATACAGCATCATATCAATTATCTTTGTCTGTCTCACTGTGATCGCAATTATTGTCTTATTCCTATCTATCTGGAAGGAGGTGTTCTGGGGAGTAGCAGGCTACATCATTTGGATATTCTCATATGAGATTGTACAGATTAGCCTCCTGAGTTTGTCACTGCCTGATCAAAATTGGTTCCCAAGCAGTGTGCGTGTGTTGCAATGGTTTGGGCTCGTCACACGTCTGCTTTCGCACATTTTCTGGATGATTTTTGTGACTGCACATGCAATCGAATTGTACAAAACCATCAGGAACACTGATGATCCCGTGAAAACCAAGCGGAAGACTCCACCAAAGCTCAAATTTGCAAAAGTTAAGGAACTGGGTGTGTAATCGTGCCCCACAGTTTGTGTTGTCAGGTGACATTCCTTCTTCGACCAAAGAAACGTTCCTCCAAGCCATATTGGGCTTCCTCCAGACTGTCGTCCCACAGACAGTGAAGGCCAGGTCCGCTCCTTTCAGATGCAAGTTGACACAATGGCATCCTTACGAAAGGTTAAACCTGCAATGCCCACAAATGTCCAGGATTTTAACCTATGGTGGATTATTGGGATGCCTATTAAATATGTTAAAATACGTGTAAATATGGATGTATATTGTATATTTTACAGCACTGTCCAGACCGATAAGGGTACAATATATTTTTGATTTTTTTAAAATACCGTACTGATCGAAACATTTGTATATAACTCCGGTTGATTCTAAAGACTAATTGTAACCCTTTTTTAAAAATTAAGTTGTTACAATTAATAATTCTTATTAAAAAGTTAACATTTTGTTTAGTTCTGTTTCTTAGTTCATTTGTAAATGGAGGATAAGCTCCTAGATTGCCCAGTTGGTAATACCAGCAAAGGAGTAACTGCTGTGCAGTAACATTTTCCATTATAATAAGAGCAGCATTTCAGATCAATGAGTCATAAATAGTGTAATAGAGCATGAAAGCAAAGAACTTATGAAGTATATTAATTGAGTCTGATTCTAGGCACCACGCTTTATGAACAATGTCAAGGCCTTAGAGAAGATATTTGTGATGTGGAAAGACTGAACAAGCTGGGCTCATTCTCCTGAGAACGGGGAAGGTTCAGGCGAGATTGAATAGAGGTGTTTGAAATCATGGATGTGGGTAGAGAAATTGTTTGCGATGCAGGAAATCACAGGACATGGAATAAAGGTAAGTGTGAATGGAAACAGAGGGCAGATAATTTTTACCTTTAGTGCAGCAAGTTATGGTGATCTGGAACACACTGCCTGAAAGGGCGGTAGAAGTAAATTCAATAGCAGCTTTGAAAAGAGAATTCAGTAACTACTTAAAGGGAAAAGAAGTTGCAGGACCATGCCAAGAAAGAGGAGGGAAGGGCAATTAACTTGATGGCTCTTTTAAAGACTTAGTAGAGACAACGTGCAACAAAGAGGTTGAATGGGGAGGTGTGTGTTACTGGGACTGGGTGATTGGCAGTGGATAAATATGTCTGCTGTCAATAAATTGCATCAAGACAGGATCAAATTAAATTAGTCAGAGACCTCACACTATTCAGGTTCACACTAAATCCTGCTCTAATTCAGATGTGTTGTGAAGCCATGTGCCAACTTTGGCTGGTTAAACCATAAGGATCAACATGAATTTAAAATTCACAGACCACTTTTTGTGATCTTTCAGCAAAACATCTGCTCTCCCTCTAAACCATGCTGATGTAGATTAATATTATAGAATTATAAAACAGTTACAGCACAACCTTTTGGCCTGTTTTGCTCCCGCCTGCCTGCATGAGCACAACTCATTTTGTCTCACTTGTTTCCACCACCCCCCCACCATAGTTCTGCAATTTTTTTCCTCATGTTGCCATTGGTTCTTTTGCCAATTACCTTAACTCGGTGCCCCCATGTTCTTGATTCTTAAAGCAATTGGATCAGTTTCTTCCCATCTACTCTGTCTAGACCCCTCATGATTTTGAACTTTTCTATCAAATCTTCTCTCAACTTTCTGTTTTCAAGGGGTTCAGCTCTTATTTTGAGGGGCTAGTTAGCTCAGTTGGCACAACAGCATGGTGTGATCCCCATTCTGGGAATTACATTCTCACTCTTCCTTGTAGCAAGATCAATCACAGCACAACCTATAGTTAGGCAACCCTCTCATAATCAAGGATGCTCGCTGAAGTTAAAGAAACATAAATTCCTTGCTTTTCAAGTGTTATTTTTCACCTACAGCAGAGAGCTGTAATCTCACTAAATCTTGAGTTAATTAGCTTGTGTTACAAAATATCCAGGATCCAGCTGACATTGTATAAAAACTGTCAAATCAGAAAGGACAACCATGCTCTTTTTTAATATATATTTAATATATTTAACTGTAAACATCAACATTTTATTGTTCTACAAAACCGAGGAATTGGCATATTGTATAAAAATACAACCATTTATGCCACAGTGATGGGACAGAGACAGTAACACTGATATATCAAGAAATGTCAACAGGAACAGAATTAGCAGTAAATGCAGGAAAAGTTCACTGGAAAGATAGAATTCCTCAGATGGTGATGTTCTATGGTTCTGATTCTACGAATTGCTTTGCGGAATTAAAAATTCATTTTCAGGTCATTGCCATATGCGAAACCAAGGTCTTTGTTTAATTTAAATTGTGGTTAAGAACCTTATTTGTGAGGAGCATTAATGCTTTTAGTAATGGCAGGGTAATCTGGGAGAAACAGACTGTTTGATTGGGTGATCCAATCAGTTAGCAAGCAACATATGCTTTCTGAATAGCCATGAGAAGTCAGAATGTAGTGAAGATAGACAGCTTGGATGTCCAATGAGGAAACTTGTTTGGAGGTCATGTGATAACAGCTGGAATATAGCCCATTAGATTTGGTGATGTTTAAGGGGAGGGTGACTCGAATGCAGGATTACAATCATTGTCCTCTTTGTCCACAGCTTCCAGTGGCCAGGGTCACCAATTCAGCGCTGGGTTTACAACCAACTATTTATTTTCATTTGTGAAAATTAGTTGGGATCCTTTAGCAAGGGGTGTACGCAGTGGTAATATCCCTCCTGCTGAACCAGAAGTCCCATCTGCTCCAGAGGTGTGTCATACATTCTCTGAACAGGTTGATTAAAAATATCTATACCTCTCACACCATTCAAATTGGGAACTAGAGTCAGATGTCAAGCAGAAAGTGGAGTTGGTAAACCGAAATAGACGTGCATTTGTATAGCTCTTTTGACAACCTTTGGATATCCCAAAGTGCTTCACAGCCAATTTGCACTTTAGAGGTGTCATCATAATTACAGTGGAATCATGGTGGATGGTTGGCACATGGCAAGTTTCCAGAAACAGCGATGCAGTGAATCCTAGAATCCCTACAGTGTAGAAGTAGGCCATTCAACCCATTGAGTCCACAGCGACCCTCTGAAGAGCATCCCACCCACCCATACCCTATCCCAATAACCCTGCATTTCCTGTGGCTAATCTACACAGCCCCAGACACTATGGGCAATTTGGCATGACCAATCCACCTAACCTGCGCATCTTTGGATTGTGGGAGGAAAGTGGAGCACCTGGAAGAAACCCACGCGGAAATGGGGAGAATTTGCAAACTCCACCTAGACAGCCATCCGAAGCTGGAATCGAACCTGGGTCTCTTGCACTGTGAAGCAGTACTGCTAGCCACTGAGTCAATGTGCTACCCCTGTGATGACCAGATCACCCATTTTTTGTGATATTGATTGATTGTGATATTGAGGAATAAATATTGGCCAAGTCACTAGGGATATCTGCCCTGCTCTTAGTGAAAGTAGTGCCAAGGGATCTTTTACATCAACCCAAGCCTTGGTTGAATGTCTCATCAGAAAATCAGTGCCACCAACTGTGCAGCACTCTCTGAGTACTGACAGACTTCATTTTTGCATTCAAGCCCTACATGGATTCAAACCCAGAGTCTTGTGACTCAAAGGTAAAAATCCTATCAACTGACACAAAAGCTGTGATTTTAGTGATCAGGTTTCTAAGGAGGCCAGAAGTTAGATAGCGGAAGTGGTTTGGAAGAGAATTCCCAAGAAATGTGTGCCAATAGAATGAGAATGAGCCACATATCAGAGACTAGAGAGGATATCTCACGCTGTAACCTCACAACCGGCCATAGAATGATGGAACAGGCTGGAGGGGACTGAATGTTTCTCTCTAATTGTGGAGATTATTACACTAGATCCAATTCACAAGATCTCAGAGGGACCTGGTGGAGTTTGAGATGGAAAAATACAAAATGAGCCCAAGGTGCGTGATGGCTGCCCTGGGAAGATAGCCCCCGTGGTTAGGTCACACTTTCATCAACCCCATGAAAGTTGAGTCTTTCTCCATGACAATGGCCGCAGAATTTCGAGGAATCACCAGTTCTATTATGTCTCCTTTTTGTAGCCTGTAGATACCTTCAAAAGGAGAACACAGAAAACAAATTATCTTCACTGTTAAAAAATGTGTAAGTGCATTTTTACAGGGAACTACATAAGTATACGACGAAGAAGGGGATAATGGATTATTCTGAAGGCAGAATGAGAACAGCTGAGAGCAGCAAAAATGCTGGCAAGAGCATAGTTCTTTGAAAATGGAGTTGCAGGTAGACAGGGGTGGTGAAGAAGGCGTTTGGCACACCTGCCTTCATTGGTCAGTGCATTGTGTATAGGAGTTGTACAGGACATTGATTAGGCCACTTTTAGAATACTGTGTTCAGTTCTGGTCTCCCTGCAATAGAAAAGATGTTGTTAAACTTCAAAGGGTTTGGAAAAGATTTACAAAGATGTTGCCAGGATTGGAGGGTTTGAACTACAGGGAGAGACTGAATAGGCTGTGGCTATTTTCCCTGGAGCGTCGGAGGCTGAGGGGTGACCTTACAGAGGTTTATAAAATCGTGAGGGGCATGGATAGGGTGAATAGCCATGGTCTTTTCCCTAGGGTAGGGGAGTCCAAAACTAGAGGTCATTAGTTTAAGATGATAGAGGAAAGATTTAAAAGGGACCCGAGGGGCAACTTTTTCACACGGAGGGTGGGGTTGTGTATGGAACAGGCTGCCAGAAGAGGCAGGTACAATTACAACATTTAAAAGGCATCTGGATAGGTACATGAATAGAAAGGGTTTAGAGGGACATGGGCCAAATGCTGGCAAACAGAACAAGATCAGTTTAGGATATCTGGTCGGTGCAGACGAGTTGGACCAAAAGGTCTGTTTCTTTGCTGTACAACTCAATGACTCTGAAAGGCCTGTTTATACAAATTCTTTGAATATAAAACCTTGCTGACAGGAACAGGTGGAATCCATTCAACCTCACAAACCTTAGTGTCATTCAATGAGAATCATGGCAGATCTGCAATCAAACTCTATATACCTGCCATTGTTTCATATCCTTTATATGTTCAGGTAAGAGTGCTCTAACAATGTCAGATTTAAAATTAAACTACTGAGCATCAAATGACCATTTCTGAAAAAAGATTTCAACATTCTTCCATACTTGTTAGTGCAGAAGTGTTCCCAAATTTTATGCTGAAGGAGATCTGGTTCTAATTCCAGAGATAGTAGGATAGTAGTTCATCCACTTCACCAAAACTTCCACCCCAACCTTAAGTTCACCTGGACCATCTCTGATACCTCTCTCTCCTTCCTGGACCTCTCTGTTTCCATCTCTGGGAACCACCTGGAAACCGATATCCATTTCAAGCCCACCGACTCCCACAGCTACCTAGAATACACCTCCTCCCACCCACCTTCCTGCAAAAATGCCATCCCCTATTCCCAATTCCTTCGCCTCCGCCGCATCTGCTCCCAGGATGAGGCATTCCACTCTCAAACATCTCAGATGTCTTCGTTTTTCAAGGACCGCAACTTCACCCCCTCAGTGGTCAAGAACACCCTCGACCGTGTCTCCCGCATTTCCCACAACTCATCCCTCACACCTCCTCCCTGCAATAACACCCAAAACAGGATCCCCCTCGTCCTCACGTACCAGCCCACCAACCTCTGGATCCAGCGCATCATCCTCCGACACTTCCGCCATCTGCAATCTGACTCCATCACCAAAGACATTTTTTTCCTCTCCACCCTTATCTGCTTTCATGAGGGACCACTCTCTCCGTGACTCCCTTGTCCGCTCCACACTCCCCTCCAACCCCACCACACCCGGCACTTTTTCCTGCAATCGCAGGAAGTGCTACACCTGCCCCTACAGCTCCTCCCTCACCCCCATCCAAACTGTGTTCAGTTCTGGTCTCCTTGAAGGAGACCTTCCACATAAAGCAGATGTTCACCTGCACATCTGCTAATGTGGTATACTGTATCCGCTGTTCCTGTTGTGGCCTCCTCTACATCGGGGAAACCAAGCGGAGGCTTGGGGACCGCTTTGCAGAACACCTGCGCTCGGTTCGCACTAAACAACTGCACCTCCCAGTCGCAAACCACTTCAACTCCCCCTCCCATTCCTTAGATGACATGTCCATCCTGGGCCTCCTGCAATGCCACAACGATGCCACCCGAAGGTTGCAGGAACAGCACCTCATATTTTGCTTGGGAACCCTGCAGCCCAATGGTATCAATATGGACTTTACAAGCTTCAAAATCTCCCCTCCCCCTACCGCATCCCAAAACCAGCCCAGCTTGTCCCCACCTCCCTAACCTGTCCTTCCTCCCACTTATCCCCTCCTCTCACCTCAAGCCCCACCCCCATCTCCTACCTACTAGCCTCATCCCTCCCCCTTGACCTGTCCATCCTCCCTGGACTGACCTATCCCCTCCCTAACTCCCCACCTACACTCACCTTTAGTGGCTCCATCCCCGCCTCTTTGACCTGTCTGTCTCCTCTCCACCTATCTTCTCCTTTATCCATCTTCTGTCCACCTCCCCCTCTCTCCCTATTTATTTCAGAACCCCCTTCCTCTTCCCCATTTCTGAAGAAGGGTCGAGGCCCGAAACATCAGCTTTCCTGCTCCTCTGATGCTGCTTGGCCTGCTGTGTTCATCCAGTTCTACACCTTGTTACCTCTGGTTCTAATTCCAGTTCACTTTTTCCAGACTAGCCAAGGGAAACAGTTTCTCTCCATCTATCATATCAATTCCCCTATTGTCTTTAAATTTTGATCAAATTCCACTCAAATTCCAAAGAATTGTATTCCAAAGAACACAAATGAATATGTGTAGTTTCCACATATAATTTAAATCTTTACATCCAGGTGTCTTTCAAATGAGTCTATTCTGCTGATCCTTCCCTTAAGCTTTGGTGCCCAGTATTAAATCTGGAGGACCCTGATCGATCTATAATGCCTAGCTGACATTCACAATGCAGCGCCACATTGGAGGATGTGGCACCTTGCAGTTACTCTGCTCTGTCTGCCTCTCAGGGTAGTTGTAAAAGATGCTGTGGCTGTACAGTATGTCAAAGGGGAACATCAGAGTCCTATCCAATATCTATATGCAAACCAACGTCACAGAAAATATCGATTATCTAGTATTTTGTCACATTTATATTAACGTTTGTGGAGCCTGTTTGCATTTCCAACATTACAACAATTGCACCGTCAAAAAGGCATCTCATTGTTTGTAACGAGTTTGACTCCTTGAGGCTGTAGAAATACAATCTATTTTGAAAGTCTAACATCTGAGTAAACGAGTCATTCCAAACAGGGGAACTGAGTTAAGAGTTATTGTCTTGTAGTGCCATTACTTGGGTTGAAAACAAGTAATGTATTTGAGCAGTTTAATAGAAAAAAACTATGTCCTCTGATGGTGGGCAATCCAGAACATGAGTTGGGGATGGCTAGAAGCTTAAAATTCAAGCCAGGCCACTCGGATGATTTCAGGAAGCAGTTTTTAACCTGAACAGGAATCTAATATTCTTGAATAGATTTGTAGCTTGGGTTGTGGATGCTGTGGTTGGTTTGCTTGCTGAGCTGGTTCATTAGTTTGCAGTTTTCATTACCCTGCTGGGTAACATCATCAGTGCAGCCTCTGATGAAGCATTGTTGTATTTGCCTGCTTGCTATTTAAACTCTGGTATCCACTGGAGTTGATGACCTCATTTCCGGTTTTTCTTTGCAGTGGTGTATATATAGGGTCTAATTCTATGTGTTTATTGATGGCCTTCTTGGTGGAGAACCAGACCTCCAGGAATTCCCGTGCCTGTCTCTGCTTGGCTTGTCCTAGGATTTTGACATTGTCCCAATCGAACTGGTGGTCCTCCTTGTCTGTATATATAGAGATGAGTGAGTATTGGTCGTGTCTTTTTGTTGCTAATTGGCGTTCATGTACTCTCGTAGCCAGCTTTCTTCCTGTCTGTCTAATGTAATGTTTGCTGCAGTCCTTGTATATTACGTTGGTTCTGTCTGTAGTGGGTAAGGGGTCTTCGGTTCTTGTTAGCAGCTGGCGTAGGGTTGATATAGGTTTGTGTCCCACTCTGATGCCCAGTGGCCGTAGGTTAGAGAACTGACCACAAGACTCCTACAGCCACTGTGCATCAGAGTGGCACACAATCCTACATCAACACTGCACTGATGATGTTATCCAGCAGGGTAATGAAACGTCTGCAAACTAATGAGCAGGGATATTTTGAGTGCTGTCCATCTGATAAAAAAAACTGTTGAGGCTAGTAGCCTGTTGTAACTTTCAAAACTGACATTGACAGACCTTTGTTTGGCAAGGGAGTTAAAGGTTACAGAACCAAAGTGGCTAGATGCAGTTAAGGTACGGATCAGGTATGGAAATTGATTCATTGGGCAGTCTTGAGGCTGAATGGCCTCATCCTGCTCCTCTTTGTTAAAGGATCGACATTCCTATTTGTAAGTTACTTCCCAGAACAGAGCAAGGAAGACTTGTTGCAATTATATAGGACTTTGATGAGGAGTACTGTAGGCACTTAGTCTCCTTACATGAGCAAGGTTGTGTGAGAGGTGCTGCAACAAAGGTTCACCAGACTGATTCCCAGGATGAGAGGGTTATACTATGTGGAGCGATTCAGTACAATAGGCTTATATTACTGGAGCTGAAAAGAATAAGATTTGATTTCATCGAAATGTATAAAGTTCTTACAGGACTTGAAAGGTATATGTCAAGAAGCTCTTTCCCTGCCTGGAAAGTGTTGAACCAAGGGGCATTAGTTCTAGTAAGGCATTGGTCATTTAGGATCAAGATGAGAAGAAATGTCTTCAGTCAGATAGTTATGAATATTTCCTTCGGAATTTTCTACTTCAGAGAGCTGTAAGTGCTCAGTCAATGAGTATATTCAGGATTGAGATTGATAGACTTCTGGCCACAAAGGGAAACAAGATCTAAGAAGGGTGGAAGACCACCGGAGATCTTTTTGGATGGTGGAACAGGTTCAAACGGCTGAATACCCTTCTCCTGCTTCTATTCCTTATGCTCTTACAATGGAGTTCTTGATGTATTAGAAATATATATTTGTTGAGTTTTAATAGCTATCACTGTCAATAAGTATATGCTTAATTGAGTGGAATTGAGTACAAGAGTCAGGATGTCATGTTGCAGCTTTCTAAGAGTTTGGTTAGGTCACATTTAAAATATTGCATTCAATTCTGGTTGTAACATTACAGGAAGAATGTAGAGGCACTGGAGAGAGTGCGGAAAAGGTTTACCAGGATGCTACCTGGATTATAGAGTATGAGCTATAAGGAGAAGTGAGAAAAACTTGCGTTGTCTTCTCTGGAGTAGTGGATGCAGGAGGGAAACTTGTCAGAAATCTATAAAACATTGAGATGCATAGAAAAGGTTGAGGGTCAGAATCTTTTTCCCAGAGTTAAAATGTTTAAAACTAGGGACATGCATTTAAGATGAGAGGAGGGAAGTTCAAAGGAGATGTGAGGGGCAATTTTTTTTTTACACAGAGTGGTAAAGGTCTGGAATGTGCTAACAGGGGTAGTGGTGGGTGCAGATTCAATAGGGATGTTCAAGGGACAATCAGATAAGCACAGGAATATTCAAGGAATGAAGGGAAGTGGACCAAGGACAGACAGAAGGTATTAGTTTAATTTGGCATCATATTCAGCACAACATTGTGGGCCGAACGGCCCATTCCTGTGCTGTACAGTTCTATGTTCTAATAGAAGCAATTATGGAAAGAGACTTTAATGGGGGATTCTATACACAATGAACATGGAAATTGTCATCCTAATTGTTGAATTCTGACAGTTTGCTAACATTATAATAACCTGAAGCTCCATTATACAGTGGTCATTTTAGAATCACATGGATATAGAAAGCCTCCAGGCACAGCAGAATGTAAGCCAAGTTAGACAGAGATAGCCATTAATAGTCCTGAGGTCATTTTCCCTCTGACAAACAGGGAATAAAAGGAGATGGTATGAATGGGGACACATCTACATTGGAACAGGGGGTTCAATAAGCAGAAGAGAATGCTTACCTGCACTGTAGCAGGTGTTGAAAGGCTGTTCCTCTGGCATATTCTGAGTGCATCTGAGCAGCGTCTCTCCCTCTTTCTGCCTTTTCTGTTCCTTTCTTTTCACGACATGACCCATGACAAATGTATGGTCCTGATACAGGACCTGGGCAAAGTGTCGAAATGGCTCAGTCAGTACTGGAGTTGTACTAAGCCCTTTCTCCAATGTCCGACCCCATCTAGATTTCTAGTTACAGCATGATCTCCTCAAATGAAGGAACACAGTGCATTCTAGATCACAACAATTTACTATTGTAAATCATTTAATGCTCTGGGGAATGTGGGTTTGTTTGAATTGCACTGTAGCAATGTGATTTTAAATTAGAACTCAAGAAAGGTCTAGCCTAATGGTGACCATTTAACCACCATTGATCATGTTTAATCTATCATCTGGGTTACTTATGCCCTTTAGGGAAGGAAATGTGCCACCCTAACCTGGTCTGGCCTATACGTGACTCCAGGCCCACAGCAATTTGATGGATTCTTAACTGGAACTATTTGGGATGGAAAATAAATGCTGGCCCAGCCAGCAATGCCCATATCCCATGAACATACTGTATTGATTTTGTTGATTTCATTATTCATATGCTCATTTTTTTTCTTTCATTTATTCCTTCATTAATTTGCTCCGCTCACTCATTTATTCATTCATTCATTCTTTCCTTCAATCTTTCCTCCCTCTTTCTCTATCATTTCGCCTCCTCCATCAAACCAAGTCAATATTCAGGGATCAGCGCCAAATGGGACAAGGGGCTACACCCATCACTAACCAAATCATCTGGTTTGAGTTTCTGGCTATTGAAGATGCATCCTTCTCCTTACCTGGGTGTAAATAAGATAGTAACCATTCCCTTTAATGGCGATTGTACTGTTGTTCTGTTCAAAGGATTCCCCAGTGTGTAAGATCTTCTGCCAGTGAATAATGGTACTGTCACCTACAAGAAGCATCAGGGGAGGGCACAGAAGAGAATGCACATGATCATTCTGATAAATATCACCAGCCTTCCTCAGTGAACTCTGTATCTTCTCCTCTTTCTTTAATCACTTGGATGTCTTCCAGTGCCTCACCCACTCTTCACTGAGAAGCTAAGATAGCAAATAGTTACAGTTCAATTGCCTCGCACTATCACAGCCTACCTCAATCTTGTCCTTAGCCGTTAACTATGAATGTCCGCTTGATAACAGGGGCAGCATTGGTCATTCTCCATTAAGGAAGTTTACTTGAGACCCTTCACCCCAGACATGGTTTGCAGTCTTCCAGTTCTGGACTATCACTTGTCCTCCTCTCCAACCCATAAATCCAACAAACCTCACTAGCCTCAAGGAACGTAGGAACAAGAGTAGGCCATTCGGACTTTTCAAGCCTGTTTTGCAATTTAATTAGATCTTAGCTGATCTGTATTGTCACTCCATTTACTCATCTCAGTTCCATAATACAGCTCCTTACTCAACTAAAAGTTTCCAATTGACTCTCAACCTTGACAGCATTTTCAGGCTAGAGATTTAAAGATTTTTTTCAATGTTTCTTAAACAGCATCTTCCAAACCCATGACCTCCACCACCCAAAAGGACAAGGGTGCCAGATACAGGAGAACACCACTTTCTGCAAGCCATGCATCAGCCTGACTTGGAAATATATCACTGTCCCTTCAGTGTTGCTGGGTCAATATCCTGGAACTCCCTCCCTAACGGCACTTAGTGTGTCCCCACACCATACAATGCGACAGTTCAAGGCGGCAGTTCACTACCACTTTCTCAAGGTCAGCTAGGGTTAAGAAATAAATGCTGGCCCAGCCAGCGACACCCACAACCTATTGAAGGATAATCTCTAAAAGTGCTTCTTAACATCACTCCTAAATGACCTGCCTCTAATTTTAAGTTCTGAATACTCTCCACCAGATGGTTTTGTTTCTCTTTATTGAACCTATTGAACCTTTTAATCAAATTCTACCAATTATCTGATCTTAAGCTATCACCCCTGGAACATTTAGAAGCTGTTCACCCTCATCTCTCCCTTCCAACTTATTCCTTTCCACTTACCCTGGCCCTATATACCACCCTCCCATTTCTCTGTCCCACTCATCCCCTGCCTCTGCTCTTTCTCTCTTCCTGTCTTGTTTTCCTCCATCTCCATCTTTTTCCACATCCCCTCCACCTTCCTCAACCCTCCCATTTCTCCAAATCACCACCTCTCCCAATCTCCTGTCTCTCTCCTCTCCCTCTCTCTCCCCCCCACTGTCCCTCTCAATCTCCTTCCTTCTATCAATTCCTCCAACCTCCCCATCCCTCTCTGTGTCTCTCCCCACCTCTGTTCTCTTCTCCATTTCCCTCTCCCTCCCAACCCCCTCCTACATACCACCCCTCCATCCTCCTAAGACATCTAATACCCAATCCTTTCCTAATGACTTCCTCTCCAACATTCCTGTTGGAATACTCAGGAGTTGCTGAGGATGATACAAGGTTCTGGAATTCTGTTCCCCGGGACCAAAGTCCCACAGTTTGTTCATGACCATTGACAATATCCCAGCCATGACTCACCCTGTAATTGATAAGAGGACGGTACCAAGTGGATCAATGAGTTTCTTCCTGGAAGGAATGAGAACAAGGATCAGTGATGATGGTTATAGCTCAAACCCAAACCCCATGGCATCGCTCACAGGTGGGGTCGCTTACAGGTGCATTCAAATCTGCTCCATGGCCTTGCTTTTCCCTCACTCGTGCCTGAACTTTGCTGAAAAAGAGACACACATGCTGAAGATTTCCATCTTGCACGCATCAGGACAAATGCAAGAACGCCAAATTTGAGGCGATCACCACAATGTACTTCACAAGAAAGGGATGCTGATTGTACGTTAAGTTGACCCATGAGGCATTGCTGGGAGACGGCAACAGCAAACTATATGGTTCTTTTTCTCCTGTAGAGTAAACTGTTGTGATATTTTAAAATTTGGCAATCTTGCGTTTGTCCTGATGCGAGCAAAACTTTGGTCTTTTCAGCAATTACTCCACCTTCCTCAAGGCCCCGCTCAAAAGATTAAAGTCCCCCTGCAATTGTGCAGAGCTTTGGCGCAGTCAAACCAGAAGTACTGTGTACAGTTTTGGTTCTCATAACTAAGGAAGGACATAGCAGGAATGGAAACAAGGTTCATTAGAGAGATTGAATAGACAAGGCCTACAGCGTTAGAATGTGCAAGAATGTAAGGCTTCCCTATTGAAACATAAAATTCTCAAGGAGCTTGATTGTTAGTAGCTGGGATAATGAATTTCCTTATAGGAGACTATGACATAGGGTTACAAGAAGTCAGCAATTTTAGACTGAGGTGAAGAGAAATGCCATCACTAAAGAGCGTTGTGAAATTTTGTGATTATCTTAGACGGTTATGAATGAGTACATTGAAAACTGACGGAGATTAATAGAAGTTTTAGGAAACTAATAAAATTGTGGAATAGGATGGGCAATTGAGGTAGAAGTCAGCCATACTTATGTTGAATGGTGGAGCAAGCAAGACAGGCTGCAAGAACAAAATTTTGCTCTCATTTCTTATACACAACCGTTTGACATCTCAGATTGCTGTGCTCCTCTGACCACTACCTCTTGTCTACTTCCCTGCCCCCACCACCACATTCTTAACTGCACCGTTGCTACCTTCAGTTGCCTGCACCCTAAACTTTAAAATACTCTTCCTAAACCTCTCTTGCCTTCCTCTCCCTGCCACCTCCTTTAGGACGCTCTTCAAAAACCTCCCTGTTTGCCCGAAAACTTTTGGCTACCTCTCATAACACCTCCCTGCGTGCCTCAGTGTCAGACTTTTGTTTGGAAATTGCAACTGTGAAACGTCCATTTGCAAAATTGCAGGCGCTGCAGAAATACAGATTTCCGTTCTTATTGAAAGTCGAATGATCAGCCCTGATCAAGTTCAGTAGCAGTGCAGGCTCAAAGGATCAAGTGACCTATTCCTGCTCCTGTTTAGAACATTTCAATAAACACAGATTGCATCAATCTGCGACTCAACCTCAACGGAAATGGCAATTTATGCTCAGTGAGAATAACGGACTATCTACAGAGATGAAACTTCTCTGTCTCAGCCCCGAGTAAATCCATCTGGGCGGAATTAGTTTGAGGGACAGTTTCCAATATCAGAGGAACTTTACCGTCAGCAAGAACATTGCTATAAGGCAAAGTGAAAAATGTACTGAGTCAGCACTTCAGTTTCTACCATGCCCTTCACAACCTGAGGCATTGCTGCTGCCTCCTCCCCCTCCAGCACTTTACACCCGTCCAAATAGTTTTTGCAATGTAGTCACTGTGCTGATGTAGGAAGCATGGCAGCCAAATTGTGCACAGCAAGCTCCCATGAACGGCATTGCCATAATGCACCGATAATCCGATTTCGTGAGATTGTTTGAGGGATAAGCGTTGGCCCCAGGACCATTGAATCCATGCCCCTGAGATTGGCACACCATCTGTGAAACTGGTACACTGCCTCTGAGGTTGGTACACTGGCCCTTAAAATCGGTATACGACCTCTGAGATTGGTACGCTATCCGTCAGATTGGGAAATAGCTCCTGAGATTGACTGACCTAAATGTACCAATGTCCAAACTGGGGCTGAACGTGCCGAGAAAGAAAAGGAGATCAAATTATTTTCTTATGCTCACTTCTCTGCCTGTGCCTCAGTTTGCTCCCGGAGTCTCGTTCCACGCGGAGAGTTTGTCGCTCTGTTTCCCTGCGTTGGAAGTGGGCGGGATGCGGGGGTTCCCGTTGTGGAGGTATGGGTGAGGTGTTGCCAGGTGACCTCGTGTTACCCATCGCACGGGAGACCTGTGGGTAGAGCCCGGGTCAGAGGGTCATTCCAAAACAGAAACACAAGTCAACAGACTGAGTTTGGGCCTCAAACTTTGAGGGGGTTAATCTGGAAAATTCCCAAAGTGCGCTGCCCCAAGGTGAGAAATTTTTCAAAATGCGACATCTAATGTCATTTCCTCCTCTTTCTGAGCCATCATTTGGCATCCGGGGCTGTACTTGGTCTAATCAGATCTTATTCCAAGTCCCATTTATACTGTAGTGTTAGCTGTGGGCTAGTGCACAGAACCTAAGGGGCAACTTTTTCATGCAGAGGGTGGTGCACTATGGAATGAGCTGCCAAAGGAAGTAGTGGAGGCTGGTACAACAACAACATTTAAAAGGCACCTGGATGGGTTTATGAAAAGGAAGGATTTAGAAGGATATGGGCCAAATGCAGGCAAATGGGACTAGATTAATTTAGGATATCTGGTTGGCATGGATGAGTTGGACCGAAGGGTCTGTTTCCGTGCTCTATGACTCTTATGACTCTTGCCTCTGTGACCTCAAGAGGTCTACTGCAGAGAGCTTTTATTCCCAGTGGACAGCCCCCAGTGTGGGAGTGAGCACTGTTGGTGGTTAGGCCAGCATTTGTTTCCCAACCCTAATTGCCCCTTCAGCCATTTCAGAGGGTGGTTAAGAGTCATATATAGGCCAGACCGGGTAAGGATGGCAGATTTCCTTCCCCACTGGACATTAGTCAACCAGATTTTTTTTTACAAAAAGTTACCACCGTTTAATTAGGACCATCATTGAGACTAGCTTCCAGTTGGAAATTTTATGAATTGAATTTAAATTTCAGAATTTGAACCCAAGTCTGTAAAGCATTGACCTGAGCCACTGGAGGCCAGTTACATTACCTTTCCTATTATTTCAAAAATAAGCTTTATTCATAAAAATATCTTTGTGTACATGCATAATCGCTAAAGCAGTTAGGTTCTGTACAGTAGCATATGAAGAAACAAATAAATGTTGGAGTGTGATTCTATCCCACAAACAAACCACCAAAGGCATTACTTACTTGTACAAGACTATATTTACATATATTTTGTGGCATCGAGACAACTCAACGGACTCCCATTTAACTTTGGCAGAAAGACCTCAGGTGGTGGTCTTTCCCCACTGTGCCTTGGCGGCAGCTGCCCCAAGTTTTAGTGTTTCCCTCAGCATGTCCTCCTGGACCTTGGAATGTGCCAGTCTGCAACACTCTGTCAGGGTCAACTCCTTGCTCTGGAAGACCAACAGGTTTCGGACAGACCAAAGAGCATCTTTCACCGAGTGGATGGTCTTCCAGGTGCGTTCATATTTGTCTCAGTGTGCATCTCGGGGAACAGGCCGTAGAGCACAGAGTCCTGCATCACGGAGCTGCTTGGGATAAACCTCAACAAAAGCCACTGCCTCTTTCTCCAGACTTCCTTTGCAAAGGCACATTCCAGAAGGAGACGCGTGACAGTGTCTACCCCCTCACAGTTGCTTCGAGGGCAGTGTGCGATGGAGCAGAGAGTCCGGGAGTACTAAAGGATCTCACAGTTACTGCCCTTCTCACCACCAACCAGGCAATGTCTTGGTGCTTGATGGAAAGTTCTGGTGATGAGACATTCTGCCAAATGACTTTGACAGTCTGCTCTGGGGACCACGTGCCAGGATCCGCCCTCTTCTTTTTCCCTCAGGGTCTCAAAAGTGCTACGTGCTGACCAGTCCCTGATGGACCTGTGGTCAAAGGTGTTTTTCTTTGCAAACGTCATCACAAGGGATGGGTGATACAGAACGGTTCAACTACTTGGAGTATTCCTCAGCAACAAGGCCAGTCCCATCCTTCGCAACACATGGGACAGGTAGAACCTCAGTACATAGTGACGCTTGGTGTTTCTGTACCGAGGGTCTACACACAGCTTGATGTAGCCACACGCACAAAGGTGGCCATCAGGATGAGGGCGGCACTGGGTACTTTACCCGACCCCGCCCAAACCCCCCACATCCACAGTCTTGTACGTGGTGTCCCTGCAGACACAGTCCATCTTAGACCTCCAGATGAAATTGAATATGGCTCAGGAGACTGCAATGGTCCAGGTTCGGGGAATGGGCCAGACAACAACAGACAGACAGCCTCACCCATTGACATTAATGGTACACCATCAAACCCTTGTGGAAATGCAGACTCTTTCCTTAAATGCTGCTTGCAAGTTACAGAGGCTCCTCACCCTTGTCCGTTGGCTTGGCTTCAGCAGTTACTCTTTTCGGGAATTAGAAGGGGAATTTCTATTGAGAAATCAGCAATGAGCAGCATATTTGCTGGTTACAGAGAGCATGGGGGAGACAGCAAATCATTGGCACTAGCTTGACTATTCCATAACCTCAGAGTTCAGAGTTGCAGATCCCTGCAACGAAACAGGGCAGAACATTCTGGAATTACACCAAGACCCTGTCGATGCCTGCCAAAAGAAACGAAGGGCAAGCCAAAGATTAATTGGAAAAAATGATTTCTCCCTCATTGCTGGCTTCAAGGATTTTAAACAAAACTTTAGACTTTATTGTCACATGTGCTCAAGTACAAAAGTACAGGAGTAAAGTGAAAAGTTTTCAATATTGCCACTCACGGCGCTTTCTGAGGGACAAGGACCTGGGTACAAAAATTTAAGAACAATGTAGAAAGAAATACAGAACTAATTTAAAAGTTAAACATTACAGTCACTTAGTATAGCGTAACGTATAATAAAATTAGAAGTTAGACATTACAGGTCCTAGTCAAAAAAAAAGTAGTAAAGATAAAAGTTCAAACATTTTGTTGATGCAATGCTGTAATTACATACAGTAAATGTCGAAATGTCAAGCTATTCCTCCTAAGATGCTCCCAATTTCCCATCAGAAGCACAGTTAAAGGGAAAGTTGTTAAAGGGACAAAAACCTGCAGCAACTCCTGTTAACACTTCGCCCCCTGTATTTGCTGACCGGCATCGGTTCTCGGTGCAGCGACGTTCCCATTTTGACATTCTCTTCCTTTGTTGGCCAATCCCTCTACAGCCTCCCCTCCTCTATATGTCCACAACTTCCTCCAACCCCATGAACCTCTGAGATCTCTGCACCCCTCCAATCCTGGCATCGAGCATTCCCTATTTCCCTCGCTCCACCATTGGCTAGCCTTGCCTTCAGCTGCCTGAGGCCTTAAACTTTGCAGTCACCTCCCTAAAGCTCTTAATCTTTCTCTCGCTTTCTCTCTCCCCTCCTTTAAGACCTACAGCTTTAGCCAAGCATTGGATCCCCTGTCCTCATATCCCCTTGTGTGGCCCCTGTCAGAAATACTTTGACTGGTTTTGCTATGCTAAAATGCTATGCAGCTGCAGGTTGTTCTTAAGTTAATCATTCTTAACTTGCTACAATTCTTAACTTTAACGATTCTGAATATCTGATCAAAACTGTAGGGTGACAGAGCACGAGAGGCCATTCAGCCCACTGTGCCTGTTTTGAAACTGCCCAATTAATTTTACTCTCCTCTGCTCTTTCCTCAACTGCCCCTGCAAACACCCCTCCTTTTGTGTAGATACCCTATTTGCTTTTGAGGGTCACTGCTGACTATCAGGAATTGCATTGCTGTAAGATGGACAGCTTTCTCCTGGGTCGTTTTGGCTTTATCTTAAAGCACATTCCTCATTTGTCTAACTTCCTGGCAACAGTCCTCAACTTTACACTGCCCTCGAAGCAACTGTGAGGGGGTAGACACTGTCACGCATCTCCTTCTGGAATGTGCCTTTGCAAAGGAAGTCTGGAGAAAGAGGCAGTGGTTTTTGTTGAGGTTTATCCCAAGCAGCTCCGTGATGCAGGACTCTTGTGCTCTACGGTCTGTTCCCCGAGATGCACACTGAGACAAATATCGAATGCACCTGGAAGTCAACCAGATTTTTTTTTACAAAAAGTTACCACCGTTTAATTAGGACCATCATTGAGACTAGCTTCCAATTGGAAATTTTATGAATTGAATTTAAATTTCAGGATTTGAACCCAAGTCTGTAAAGCATTGACCTGAGCCACTGGAGGCCAGTTACATTACCTTTCCTATTATTTCAAAAATAAGCTTATTCATAAAAATATCTTTGTGTACATGCATAATCGCTAAAGCAGTTAGGTTCTGTACAGTAGCATATGAAGAAACAAATAAATGTTGGAGTGTGATTCTATCCCACAAACAAACCACCAAAGGCATTACTTACTTGTACAAGACTATATTTACATATATTTTGTGGCATCGAGACAACTCAACGGACTCCCATTTAACTTTGGCAGAAAGACCTCAGGTGGTGGTCTTTCCCCACTGTGCCTTGGCGGCAGCTGCCCCAAGTTTTAGTGTTTCCCTCAGCACGTCGTCCTGGACCTTGGAATGTGCCAGTCTGCAACACTCTGTCAGGGTGAAATGCTCCACCTTGGGAGCAGATGCTGTGGAGACAGAGGAATTGTGAGTATAGGATGACATTCTTGCAGGAGGGTGGGTGACAGGAGGTGTAATCCGGGTGGAGATTGGAGTCAGTGGGTTTGAAATAGATGTCGGTGCTGAGACAGTTACCGGAGACAGAGACGGAAGGGTCCAGGAAGGTGAGGAAGGTGTCGGAGATGGTCTGGGTGAATACTGAGGTTGGAGTGAATGGTGTTAGTAACGTTGATGAACTGTTCAAGCTCCTCATGGGAGCACGAGGCAGTGCTGATACTGTCATCAATGTAGCGGAGGAAGAGATAGGGGATAGTGCCAGCGTAGCTGCGGAAGAGGGACTATTCCATGTATCCTACGAAGAGGCAGAGATAGCCTGGGCCCATGTAGGTGCCCATAGCCACCCGTTTAGTTTATAGGAAGTGGAAGAGTTTAAGGAAAAGTTGTTGACAAGTTCCATTAAGCAGATGACAGTGTCTGTGGAAGGGGACTGGTTGGGCCTGCGGGAGAGGAAGAAACAGAGGGCTTTTAGGCCCTCCTCATGGGGGATACTGGTGTCGAAAGACTGGATATCCATGGTGAAGATGAGGTGTCAGGGTCCGGGGAATTGAAAGTCTTGAGGAGGTGGAGGGTGGGGGTAGTGTCCCAAATGTAGCTGGGGGGGTTCCTGGACCAGTCGACATTGGTTCAATGAGGCCACCTTTTCATCCAACCCATCTCCCCAGAAAATTAGCCTGGGGTTTCTTTATACTCACCAGAGACATTACCACCACGCCGCTGCCTCCCTATTGGTCGACTGAAATGTGCACTTCTGTGGTGTCCTGCCTTCCCATAGCCAATCAGAATCTGAATACACTCATTTTCCAATGGACGCTTCGTGACTCCTGGTTAAATGGTCATTGTCCTTTCCCTGTTCACTGATTACCAACATTTTCCTTATGTAGAATGTACAGCAACAGACTATTCGGCCCATCTGCTCTCAGCTGTATTCAAGCCCTCATCTCGTCCAATCAACAAGTCCTTCCAATCCTTTCTCCCTCCTGTTATCCTGCTAAATAGTTCTTTCCTACTTGACCAATCCTAGTTGGGACAAGTTCTACATTCTCCACACTCTCTGGGGAAACGCTTTCTCCCAAATTCCCAATGGGATTTATTGGTGACTATTGCATAATGACGGCTTACAGTTTGGGTTTCTCTTCAATATACCCCCCATCCTATTAGGGACATAGAGATATGCAGGATGCAAACAGACCCTTTGGTCCAACTCGTCCATGCTGACCAGCTATCCTAAATTAATCTAGTCCCATTTGTCAGCATGTGGTCCATTTCCCTCTAAACCCTTCCTATTCATATATCCATCCAGATGCCTTTTAAATGTTGTAACTGTATCCACCTCCACCACTTCCTCTGGCAGCTCATTCCATACACGCACCACCCTCTGGATGAAAAGGTTGCCCCTCAGGTCCCCTTTAAATCTTTCCCCTCTCACTTTAAACCTATGCCCTCTAGTTTTGGACTCCCCTAACCTGGGGGAAAACGCCTTGAACTGTTCACCCTATCCATGCCCCTCATGATTTCATAAACCTCAATAAGGTCACCCATATGCTTCTGATGTTTCGGGGAAAATAGCCCCAGCCTATTAAGCCTCTCCCTATATCTTCCAACCCTGCGAACATCCTCGTATATCTTTTCTGAACCCTTTCAAGTTTAACAACATCCTTCCTATAGTGGGGAGACCAGAATTGAACACAGTATTCCAGAAGTGGCCTAACCAATGCCCTGTACAGCCGCAACATGACCTTCCCAACTCCTATACTCAATGCACTGACCAATAAAGGCAAGCGTACCAAACAGGGTTACCATCTTCTCTATTGTCAGCCTGATCAAAACCAACCCGTCCTTGCTATGATTTTTCTGTTGTGCCTTGCCACATCTAACTTGGTGGTTAATCTTTCTCCATCCCTGGACAATTCCTCTTCTCACATTCACTGCCCAGAGGCAGCTCCAATCCATTGTGTTGCAAAGTCCTTCCAGGGTAGGGGCAAATCAAAAAAAACATATCTACCCCAGTCAGAATGGGAGATCAAACCCTGGGCCTACGACACACCAGGCGCCCCACCCCCCAGGAAACTGTGTTACCATGGCAACGTACACCTCCACATCGCCATCTGGATAGTGACAGCAGAGGCTCCTATATCCTTTGCTTGCACATTGACCTGGGATCTCTCCTGCTGTCACTGCATGCTATTGGAGTGTGTTGGAAGGACTTTTGAGACCCAACCAGTTTGGCCCCATTGTCGACCGCGTTGTTTCTTTTGCCGTCGAGCCCCGGAGTGGAGTTGCAACCTGGAGTTCCTCGCTCAGAGGCAGGGACACTACCCACCGCACCCTCAGACCTCCTGTCCTGGAGGATTAACCACTCTCTACTCCATCCCGCGCCACCCCCTCCACTGAAACATAAATATTCCGGCTCAGTTCAAAGCTTGTGGGGCACTCCAAGACTAAAGCACAGATGAATGTAAAACTGAAATTAATATTCACCTGGGAATAACCCTTGGTGAGTAATGCAACTTGTCAATACTTGCAATTACATCACACACAGCCAAAACAATGGTCCCTTCACATTAACACTTTTGCTTAGTCACTGTATCAAAAGAATATTCCAGATAAAGAGATATTACTGCAACGGTCAGGCCGTTTGAATCTGAATTTCTCTCTCAATGCCCGTCTCCCTCCTCCCCCACTCAAGTACTGGCTTTGCCAACCTTCTAGCAGGATTCCCCAGATGCTTTCATTAATCTCCAGATGAAAGCCGGAACCAGGAAACACTTTCAGAGCAGAATTATGTCTTCATTTATCAAATTTCATTGGAAGACGTACCCACTTCTGCAAAACAAAACTGGAGATCAAGTCTGTGTGGCCAAGAGCTAGGATTCAGCCAACCAGGAAATCAAAGGTTTTCTCATTTCTTGATTGTTTGTTGGAGGCCATGGGGAGGTCAGATCTGTCACAATGAGCCACTTGTGTGAGGGCTGGGATCATGGCCAAAACTGGGCCCAGTTGGCAGCCTTTAGTCCCAGTGTCCTGTCCTTCTGAATCAAACCAATCATCCACTAACTGAGTCAACAAGGTGTAGAGCTGGAAGAACACAGCAGGCCAAGCAGCATCAGAGGAGCAGGAAAGCTGACGTTTCGGGTCGGGACCCTTCTTCAGATAATCATCCACTAACTGTTGCCCATCTCTATTTGACCCTTGAGGTGGTGTTGGTGAGCTGCCTTCTTGAATTGTTGCAGTCCATGTGCTGAGAGTATACTGTAAGGGAGGAACTTCCAGGATTCAGCGACACTGAAGGAACAGCGATTTATTTCCAAATCAGCATGGGGCATGGTTTGGAGGGGAACGTGTAGATGGCAAGGGAACCATGCATCTGCTGCCCTTGTCCTTCTGGATACCAGAGGTCACAGATTTGGAAGATGCTGTAGAAGGAGCTTTGCTGCAGTGCATCTTGTAGATGCCACGCACTGCTGCTACTGAGTCCTGGTGGTGGAGGGACTGGTTGTTTGTGGACATTGTACCAAACAAACAGGCTGCTTTGACCTGGATGGTATCAAACATCTTGAGTGTTGTCAGAGCTGCACCTATTCAGATAAGTTGAAAATATTCCTTTGCACTCCTGACTGTTGCCTCGTAGATGGTGGCAGGTCTGGGGGGTCAGTAAGTCACCCACAGCTGTGGTATATGCACATTTGCATCTTGATACCCCCATGCTACCAGGGAAACTGAGCTATCTGGTGAGGAGATTTAACCCACCAGCAAGCGCAAGCCTAGAACTAAGACTGCTCCTATAAAACCATCGACTTGGAAGAGTCAAACTTGTACATTCTTTTCCCCATTGATTACTCTGACAAGCCCTTTCAACACATCCACTGCCGTCCTGTGCCACCCTTTGCACCCAGTCCTGATCACCCATCACCCCTCCGTGCTCACTGACCCAGCTGACTCCCTGCCCAGCAAAAATGCCTTGATTTTAAAATTCCATCCTCGTGTTCAAATTCTTCCACTGCCTCTCCAACCGCTATAACCGTCCGAGATCTCTGCACTCTGCCAATTCTGGCCTCTTCAGCATCCTTGAATTCCACCTTTGGCAGTCACACTTTCAGCTGGCTGGGCCATGAGCTGTGGAATTCCCTCCCTAAACCTCTCTCCACCATCACCCCGCCACACACACCCCCCCTGCCCCCCCACTGCCCCCTCTCTCTCCTCCTTTAAGGCGTTCCTCTTCAACCAAACATTTGGTCAACCGTCCATTGTATCTCTAGCGTGGCTTGATAATCTTGCCCATTAACTGTTCCTGTGAAGCAACTGGAGTTTCGTAATAGGTGCCTCGTGGACTCCTCACGGATAAGGCAAGCCTTGAAGTTCCTTGACCAGCCACCTCCACATTCCCGCTTTCTGGTTGCCTAACCCTCCAACTCCTCGCACTCCCAATTCCCACAGGACAATCAAAAAGTGGGCAGAGTCTGTTTTCCCCTTCGCTCCAGTGACTCCCAGCACTTTTAAGGCATCTTACAGCTAGTTTAAAAAGAAACACGGGAGAGAGAGAGAGAGAGAGAAAATAAGAGTGAATAAAAATCCTGTGAGACTTCTCTCCTGGGCTAACTCCCAGCAGCTTAATTCAATCTTCTGGTTCCTGAGGTCCTGGGACAATCCTGGTCCTGCAGTGAGGCCTAACCCAGAGTGGTTAGGCAAAGTAGCTTCCTTACAGAGATGAGGGGTCGTAGGTCAAAAATCCCATAGCTGCCGAATTCTCAACCACTTGTCAGGTTATTTAAGAAGTCACATCCTTTGCGTTCGGCAAGTAGGGGACACATTCTAGAAACTCCGGCTGTTAACCCACAACCCCTTTGCAGAACCCGAAGTGACAGGAGGTGGCCATTGGGCCCATCGTGAGGAGGCCTATCCCCATCCAGCCTGCTCCTTTATATTGGCCCTGCAATATACTTTCCCCCCCTCAATCCCTTTTCAAATTCCTTTCATTAAATTCCTTTCCGTCCTCACCTCCCTTTCAGTCAGCATGTTCCAGATTACAACTCCCAAATTTTAGTTTTTTTTGACAAACCTCGCTTCTCCACCCCCTGTTACTGATGGCTGTCTATTTGAACACAAATTTTGATTTCAGTTGTAGGCTCCTGGCAGAGCAACAAGAGCGAGGAAGCCTTAAGGACATATCAACTGACACTATCCAGCTCCTCTTCCTACAGGTTTCTACACGAACCCACACCTCTTGTCCCTTGCAAAGAGCCACGAAGGGAAATAGTTGCAAACTCACTCACGTCCAGTGACTCGCCGTCGGCCTCCCGTCTGCTGCCCTGGTCACTGCACTCCGCCCTCAGACCCTCCAGCTCCCTCCTGAGCCTCGCCACTTCGGCTGAATGCAGCATCTGGGCGGCCAGACACAGCAAGACTCCGGCCAGAGAGGCTACCCCCAAGGAGACCGGTGAAACCATCTGCTTTCCTCTTGCAGCCGGGCGACAGAAGTGATGTACGAGTTGCAGGAGCGGAGGTGCTGGCTTCTGGTCTAAAGTGGGAGGGGAAACTTTCACTGAGTCAGGTCCCAGTTTTCAGGAATTGCTAAACAGGCTGCCTAAAACAATCAAATAACACGGCGCAGAAAATGTAGTCATCCCTTGATCGTTTGTACATCTGGCTGGCGGGGGAGAATCACGCTGTCCAGCTCCACATTCTGCTTGTATTCTGGTTAACAGAGCGAAAGCTGGGATGCAGGGGGCAGACAGCTGCTGCTCAGGTGCACATCTGGTTAAGGGAGAGGAAGCAAAGAGTGTTGGAACCATCAGGTTTCCAGCTGGGAGAGTTGACGCTGATTCCCCCTTCCCCTGCCTCAGCCTACAATGTGTGACGATAATGTCATCGGTTCAGGAACCCAACCAGAGACTGGGTCGGGGAGGGGTGGGACGAGGATCCAAATCCTATAATCCTTACAGTGTAGAAGCAGGCCATTCAGCCCATCAAGTCACACTGACCCGCTGAAGAGCATCCCATCCTATCCCTCTATAACACTGCTGTTACCACGGCTAATCCACCCTAACCTGCACATCCCTGGGCACTTTTAGCACGGCCAATCCACCCTAACCTGCACATCCCTGGACACTACGGGACAATTTAGCACGGCCAATCCACCCTAACCCGCACATCCCTGGACACTATGGGACAAGTTAGCACGGCCAA